TAACTTGCATAGAACACTGTACGGTGAATAATAAATGCACAACAAACTATCTGTCCTCCCACCCCCCTTTTCCTCACTCCCCTGCCATTTGGTACCAGTTCTCGCTGCGTGGAGCCGCCCTCCCGGGCACACCACCATCCGCACCCCCCCAACATTCACTCACCTTTTCCCTTATTCCCGTGGGCTCTAATAAATCCTCAATGACGTAGAAAATAAATACACACGGTTAGCACATGCCGGGCAGCTTGTGCTAGAGCTTCATAACCCAGCTCTAAGGAAGAGCCTCTAGTACTTAATTTTTAAAATGTAATATAAATTTAATGCAATATTAATATTTAACTCACTTAATGCAATATTTAATTTGATATCCAATGCAAATAAAAATAGTAAACAGATTTATTAATGATTTACATAAGTACTCTCCTATTCTGTCTTTAAAGCGGTTTTCTACCCAGAAGATGATTTTCTACCCTCAGAAAGCAAGCATAGGAGGATATTCAGCTGGCTGTTGTAAGTGGGTCAGAGTTGTCATCTCACGAGTGGGTCTGGCCAAGAAACAGCATCCATGGCTTTCATTTATTCATGCGGTTAACGAGGGCATATAATCTACGCTGGGCACCGAGCTAAGATCTGCTGGCAGGAGAGAAGGGGCTCTACTCTCAAAGCTCATGACCCAGTGGGAGGTGACATAAAATGCAGTGACAACCAAAATCAGGACTAGGAGAGGAATCCGCAGTCAGTCACGCTGAGCACTGGCAGGGCACCTCCCCAGACTTAGGGCCGGGGCTTATGGTCAGGGGGAGCTTCCCAGATAAGGCAATATGTGAGCGGAGAAACTTGGGAAGGGGAGAGGATTCAGGCAGACAGAAGAGTTGGCTCATAGGCCACTATGGACTGTCGTCTGTGTGCCCCCAGAATTCACATGTGGAAACCCCAATCCCCAGTGTGATGGTGTCAGGAGGTGGGGCCTTTGGGAGGTTATGAAGTGAGCCGTCACGATGGGATCAAAGCCCTCGTAAGAAGAGAGGAGCTCTTTCCTCACCGTGTGGGCTATCTGAGAAAACGGCCATCGGCGAACCAAGGGTAGACTCTCCCCAGGAACCCAACTGGCCAACACCTTGACCTTAGACTTCCTGGCCTCCAGAACTCTGCGAAATAGACTTCTGCCTCTTAAGCCACCGGCCTATGATGCTTGTGATGGCAGCCAGAGGAGACCCAGATAAAGCCTAGAGGCAGGGTCGTGCTGGAGACGAGAAGCTCAGAGCAGCTGGGGAAAAGAAGTGGGGAATGCTCGATGTGAAGCAGTTTAGACGGCTTCCTAATGGTGATGACAGTCAAGCATGGGAACGAAGTGACCAGAGTTCCATGTTGGAAGAGCCACTGTATCTGAATGACAGCTCCATAGCTAACTGCCACGAAAGTAATCAAGAGAACAGAGGCATCGCAGGGAGTAGAAAGAAAATGTGCTGATTCAAGAAATATTCAGGACACTAAACTGACAGGTCTTGGTAACCGAGTGTGGCAGGTGAGAGAGATGAATGGCGCCCGGATGACGGGTAGAGTGCAGCGCGAACGACTGGGTGGGTACCTTACACAAATGATGCTAATCACCGACGGCATCGTTATCATCGCTCTCACCGCCATTATTGATGATGATCTGGTCCTACCTCAGGGACGACGCAGGTGGAGTCCGTTTCTACCTCTACAACGCAACCTTTCGAAACTGTTCTTTAAAAGCAGCATAACCCATGGGAGGTGCATGTTGGGTGTCACTTGGTGCGATCCTATGGGAGTCAAACAATCCAACGACGTAGCTTTGAAATAAGTATCCGGGACTACTGGATTGGTTCAATTGAGTATAGCACATTCATACAACTGAGCATTATTCAGTCTTTAGAAATGAATGCTCCATGCCAGTGTGGCATGGTAATTAGGCATCTGGATTGCACATGACCGACTGAATGGTTCAAGCCCCAGGCCTGGTACCTTAAGAAACATGCTGGGTACATGGGCCTGTGTGCCCCAAATCTCAGGAGAATGAAGGAGAAGGGAGAAGGGATTGCACCATACCCCTCTCCCCAGGAGTGTTTTTTCCCTCTCCTCCCTCTCTCTCTCACTCTCTTTCTCTCCCTCTCTCTCTCTCTCTCCAGCAAGTGCACATACTCTCTAACTGAAGAAAAAAGAAAGAAAAGAAAAGAAAATTAGCAAAGAAACGAACACTCCAATGTTTACTTAATGGCATGGAAAAATAAAGTTAATGTAGTACAAAATTTTCTGAGTACAGATAATCTCATTTTCAGAACGTTTAGTTTTTGTTTCCTTAAAAGGATGATTTATGTCTTGACAGTAACATCAGTTATGTTTTCATTTATGTCTTCATTTTTGTATTTTCCCATTTTTTTCACAGTGCAATAGTTCTAGTATTGATAAAATTATAAAAGTAAATAAAGCTCATGTTATTTCATTTGTTCCAAACAATACCCAGTAAGACACGGAAAGCCTTGGGTTGATGCTATCAGTGGTCTCCCCAGGCATGAGGGACATAGACAAAGGCTAATTACATGCCAAGACCAATAGCCCTCGGTCAAAGATTTGTTCCTCAAGACGAGGGTCCTCCGGCCATACATCCTTACCACAATGTCTTCTCGACCACTGTCACAGCCAAACCACATCTTCCTATCATCCCACGGGATCTAGGCAAACAAACACCAGAGAACTGCCTCTCTGTTACTGAAAATCAATAGATCTTCCTCTGTCAGAGAAGAGAATTCAGCTGGATAAACGTAGTGAAACATTATAGAAAGCCAAGGGAGAAGAGAGAAATACTGGAAATGCATCCTGTCATCTAGTATACAGATGACAGAATTCTGAATATTCTCCAAGGCCTGTTTTGGGTGGTTTTAAACACCAGGTTTGACCAAGCCGCGAGACGCATGCTGCTAAGACACTGCGCTCAGCAGTCTGGAACCACATAGGAGGCCTTGGGCCAGTTACTAGTCCAACCTAGAGGCCAGATGCAGGGGCAGGTGCCTGCAGTCTCCACGACTCAGGGAGGCTGAGGCAAGAGGATGGTGGGCTCGAGGTTGACCTGAGCAACACAGCAAGACTCTGTTTAAAAAATGAAATTAAAATAGAACCAGCAGGTGGTGTAGTAGCTAAGGTATTAGACTCCCATACGGTTAATTGTGGTCCGAGTCCTGGACCTGGTGGCTTGAAAATCAAGCCAAGCACATGTGCGTGCATGCCCCAAATCCCAGAGGAGAATGGAGAAGGGATTGCAGCATGGCCATCCCCTCTGTGGGTGATATCTCACTTTCCTTCTCTGTTTCTGTCTCTCTCTAGCAAGCACATGTGCCCAATAACAAAAATTTAAAACAATAAAAAAAAGCCTGGCACAGTAACACATACCTGTAGTCTCAGCTGGAAGGCTGAGGCAGTAGGATCTTCACGGTGAGATCCCATCTTTGAAAAAACCCAAAATCATCCTAAATTATTTAATAGTCTTCCTATCAAGAGAGGAGGTCAACGGATGTTCCTGCTCCTGAATTTGGCTGGGCTCGTGACCACCTTGACCAACGTAGTATGGTGCACACGTGGTGCCAGGCGACTGCTGAGGCCAGGTCTCAAAAGGCCACGGCTTCCCCTCCATCTCAGAAAACTCGCTCTCTGGGATCTGGCTCTTGGAATCCAGCCACGTGCTGTGGGAAGATTCAGCTGCATCGAAAGATCAGTGAAAGCGCCCTGGTCAATACCCTCACCAAGACTTGACTTCCGGTCATTCCTTCCAGACGAAGCCCCAGCATTGTGCAGAGTCGAGACACTCCCGTGTAGCCTGCTTTATTACTCAGGGTAGTCCAGAGAAAAGAATCAACACGTGTGTGTGTGTGTGTGTGTGTGTGTGTGTGGGTGTGGGTGTGTGTGGAGCAGGAGAGAGACTCAGAGAGGTTAAATAAACTGGCTTACTGAGGCCAGCAGATTGCATGGTGGTTAAAGGTATTGGATTCTCACATGGCTGACTGTGGTTTGAGTCCCGGACTTGGTAGCATGCTTTCTTGCTTTCTCTTTCTCTTTCTCTTTCTCTTTCTTTTTTTTTTTTTTTTCTTTTTCTCTCCTCTCTCTCTCTCTCTCTCTCTCTCTCTCTCTCTCTCTCCCCCCTCCCCGTCTCTTTCTGATTAAATTAAAAAATAATAACAACAAATGGAATTAAATATTTTTTTAAAAAAATAGAAGAAGAAAGAAAGAAAACTGGCTCACATGATGTGGAGGCTGGCAAGTCCAAAATCTGTAAAGTGGGTCACATCCAAAAGCCATCTGCTACAGAATTCCCTCTTCAGTTCTAGTCAGACCTTCAACTGATTAGATGTGGCCCACCCATATTTTAGAGGACAGCTAGCTTTACTCAGCACCTACCTATTGGGTCATTAGGAGAGTCATGATGCATTTTTGCATAGGAAAAGACATGACTTCCCCAACAACCTACCGTTTATACGTTAATGTCATTGGAAAACCCCTCACGGGGACAACCTGGATAATGTCTGACCACACATAAGACCTGGCCATTGTGGCCCAGCCAGGCTGACAGTGAAGTTAACCATGACACCCGCCCAGCCTCCGGCTCATGGATTCTGAGTTTAATCAGATGCCTGTTGTGTTACACCTCTGAGTTAGGGTGGTTTGTCACATAGCAGCACAACATTGAGACCCCTCCGGCGGGTAACATGAAGGACTCTGGCCTGGTGCCTCTGTACCTGAAGCCTAGAAGTACTCACTCACTCAGGGAGAGCCAGCAAGAACAAGGAATAGAGCCCACCCTTCAGATAAAACTCTAACTCCCCACACAGGCTGGCAGTGTGGCCTCTGCCGCCAACCTAGCCTTGTCTTCCCAGACCCCCTTTCGCCCCTCGACTTCGGCCACCCTTCCTGGAACAAGCTCCACCTTTTCTCTTCCCCCACCTGTGACACGCTTTCCCACCTTTACTCTGCTTGGGAACTAAGCTCACCTTCCCCGAGCACCCCGAGGGAGTCCCCAGCGGAATCCTTTCTCCCGCATGAGAACTTAACCTGCCGTTGACTTCCTGGCACTGTTTCCTTGGTAACCTAATTGGCTAGTATGTCAATGATCTTACTAGGCAACCTTGCTCGGGTAAAACTAGCCTCTCACGGGCACTTTCTGTCTTGAATTTGAGTACCCACGGGGTGCCACATTTTGGATGCCACTCTTCTGCAAAGATGCTCCTGGTGGGGCTCCTGAGAGCTCCCCTATGGGGCTGTGACAAGAGACGGTGGCTCTGTGATGCGAGAGCTCCTGAGCCAGAGCGACACACCTTCCCCGCGTGGCGTCGCCTCCTGCCAGAGCTGGGCTCCAAGGACTGCAGCTGAAGACGACTTCTGATGCTGCCCTCGGGACAGGCGAGGTTTCCCACCCTCCGGCCACCAGAGCACTCCACGGCGAAAGCGTGCTAGGGCATTCTGTGAGTCTAAGTGTTGAACCCAGTGTCCTCGTGACCTCTCTGCTCCCGTCATCTCTTCTCGTACCAGCCTGCTTTCCTTTCACACGCAGGGATTAATTACCTACTTGGTTATTGCCAGTCTCTGCCCTGGACTGCAGCCTCGAGGAGGTCGAGGACCATGTCTGTTTGCCTTTCGCTGTAAACTTGGCACCCACCCTGTGCCTGGCACATCGCAGGAACTCAGTACGTATCAGCTAAATAAATGCATGGATGGATGGATAGGTGATTGATGGATTGATAGAAAAATAAGACCGGAGGCGGAAGCTGCTAGCTACAAGGAACAAAGTGAGAAGGAAGCAGAGGAAGTCCAGATTGCAGGAGGCCTTACAGAAATGTCCATGAGCAGTGAATCACCTGAGGGTCTTGAGATGCGGAACCATCTCAGGGACAGAGTGAAGGTTTCTGGTTTACGCCAAAGTCCCTGGCAGCAGTGTGGGGCAGGCGGTGGGCAGGGGACGTGAGAGGCAAGGCTCCATTTGAAGATGTTACTAATAATCATGGGGAAAAGCCAGTGGGGGAGGGGAGAGTATGTCTCAAAGGATGTTTAAGAAGTAAATTCTAGGGCCAGCCAGTGGCACAGTGGGAAAGGCGGTGGATCCCACATGGCCAACTACACACTTTGAATCCTGGAGATTGAGAAACATGCTTGGATACATGTGCATGTGTGCCCAAAATCCTGAAAGGAAAAGGGAGAGGGAGAGACCGCACGCCATCCCTACTAGGGCTGCTTTCTCACGTGTTTCCTCCGAGTGTACACACCTCTGACAAGTTTCACAGCAACAGCAGAAAAGTAAACTTTACACTACCCTCAGGCCAATGAGGAGGAAGGTGGGATGATGGAGGAGCCAGAGTGACTGTGGAATCAATTACTGGGGACCTGTACACATGGAGCCGATGTGAACCTGGAAAAGGAACCAGGGGGTGACAGGTTTGTGAGTGAAGTGGTGAGTTTGGCCTCAGGATCACCCGGGAGCGACGTCAACCTGGACTCGGAGCAGCCAGAGACGGGAAGGCGTTGGTTTCAGGACGCAGGGGGTGGTTGGGGTCCTGAGCATGCTGCAGCCTGCCCAGCTCTAAAATTCAAGGGCCGAGGATGAAACCCGAGTGGTCTGGAGCAGAGAGAAGAACCCCACAGTGGGTGACGATGGCTCATGCAGAGCTGAGGCCAAGAGCAGAGTCCACCTGTGAACCCGGAATGCTGTTTTTCTCTTCTTGGAAGCCACGTCTCAGTGCACTCGCCTTTCTACTGTGGAACTGACTTCCTTCTGAAATCTTGGTCATTTCTGCCTCCATCTGCTCCCTCCGAGGAGAGCACGTGCCTCTGTGATGAGCAGGCTCCTCCCCACCTCCACGTCCTCTGAAGTTGCTGCACATAGTAGGTTTCCAGTAACTCTCCCCATCAGAACTGTCCCAGGATGCGGGGAAAACACTAATTAGTTTCAATCAAGACTAATTGCTTTTTACATTCTCATATAAATCTGACTTTTACTAGGTTCTGAGAATCAATGTTTCATTATTTTCGCCACCGCGGAGATGATCCCTGTTGATGGGTCATTACAAACCGTCGTGCTCCGAGAGGTCCCCTTCCTGCCGCTCATTTCCTGGCCGTTCGGCAGGCTATCTTGCTCTTCAGAGTGGAGAGGGGGGAAAAATTAAATGGGACATGGAAATTAGCAACGGGGACCAACTGGACCGGAGGGAGACGAGCTCTCTCGATGAGCTCACGCCAGACAGAATCAGGTTGTTCAACGGGAATCGACAGGAGGCTTTACTCCGGACGCCATTCGGGGGATGTTTTCATGCACACCTGCCGCTGAGTGCCCACGTACACCAGGCCCACCACCACACTGACGACATGTGACCTCTTGCAACCACCGCAGTAATGCTGAGGGGCCGGGCTGCGTGCCAACGAAGACACCAAAGCTCAGAGAGGCTCCCCTGGGCTGGCCTCTGTGGGCTACTGTGCTGCACAGGTCTGACCCAAAACCCTCAGGTGTCCCTGACCGGCCCTGTATACCTGATGCGCCTCCAGCTCCGACAGGTCCCAGAGCATCCCCACCCAAGGCCCCGCTCCCCACTCGGAGCCTGACCCTGGTGCAGAGCAGGTACAGTGGCAAGTTCCCCCGACCCTGAGTCAGAGCTCCATCCCTTCTCTGCTCCTTGGCACTCAGAGGCCTCTGTGAACCATTTGCATAAATCCAAGCAGAACAGCACACCCTGGAGAACAAAGGAAGAAAGCGAGGTGCAGGCTTCCCAGCTGCGTGATGTCTTTTGATGCCAAGGAGGCTCCCCACAGTCTCCCTGGTTGTACCACAGCAGGGTCCCAGCATGAAAGAGCCATAGAAGGGGCCCTCCAAACCCACTCACACTCTCTGGGATCTGTACATGTCAAGAACGGAGAGATCAACGCACAATAAACCTGCAGCAGATCGATCCCTCATCTCCCTGGAACCCTTTGCAAATCCCAGGGGCTGTTTATGTAACCAGGACTCAGAAAAATGAGCTAGCACGTATACTCTCCTTCAGGGTGAGCGTGTCAGGAGGGAGATGGCACCAAGCTACAATGGCCAGAGGGAACTCGGCAGGACCAGGCTCAAGGCCTGCCTGTGAGACCTGGGGCATGTCACCTCGCTGACCCCCGCCCTTCTCATTTGTGCAGTGGGGTCAATTCCAGCTCCTGCCCTTAGATCCAAGTAGCCAGTGCACGCAGGTCATGTCCCCATCCCAGGGCCCAGCAAGCAGGGGACCTCAGTACCGCCAGCCACTCCTAGTATCTCTGCACAGCTTTGGGTGAAGTGACGGGAAGAGGGACAGAGCTAGGGCGTTGCTTCCTCGGGGAAGTCACTTAGGTCAAGAGGTGCAGGGGGAGCATCTCGGGCAATGAGGTGGCATATGCTCCGTGTTAGACTGCATGAATAGCTTGGAGCCAGACAAATCTAGACTATGACCCATTAGATCTTGGGCAAGTCATTTAACCTCTCTGGACCTTCTAACATTTAGGGTCTGGTAAGAGAAAGGGGATGCCCCCTACACAGAAACTGCGGTTTGTGCTACTGTGAAGGAGAACCACTCGATTCTGAGAGCAAAAGAACAGAGTCTGAGGCAGACCACAGGGCAGAGGGGTGGCTGTGGGCGTTGCTTCCTTGGGGAAGTCACTTACGGCAAGAGGTGCAGGGGGAGCATTTCGGGCAATGAGGTGGCACATGCAAAGGCCCTGTGGTGGCAGGGAGGCTAGCCTGGCTACAACTGCAGTAGAGGCAGAGGAGTCGCGTTTCAAGCTGCAGGCGTCCAGGCGTCCCAGGCGGACCACGCCGGGTGTGGGCGTAAATGTTTTAGAGGGCAGAGAGCTCCAGCTGCCCTGCTCCTTGGTGTGCCCAGATGCCGACAGCGCTGCCTGGCACACAGTTGGTGCTGAACGTACCACGCGAGCTCAGACAGCCAGGGCCAGGGCCCTCCCGTTCAGCAGCTGTGAGAGGCTGCTGCCCATGTGCACCTGCCCCATGCAGTTACCCAGGGTCTTTTTATGTTTTGTATTCACAACGCATGCACTCACGAGAAAGAGGGAGAGAGGAAGAGAGAGAGAGAGGGAGAGAGGGAGAGAGAGAGAGAGAGAGATGCACTTTCAGCGGGGCTGTCATATCCTGACCCTCTTCATCTAGTCCTCTAGCTCACCAGGACCTTGGGCACATGCATCTGGCCTGTTTTCAGGCTACCTGGGCTGGGGACTGGGACCACACCTAGCATGGGGCCTCCAGCTCTGTGGCCTAGTACCCACTGAGCCTCCATGGGACCTTTACTCCTGGCCTGTGCCAGAGACACACAGGAAAAAGGGCGTGTGGGGCTTGGCTAGTGAGAGGACTTCTTTGCGAGGAGAGTTTCGTGGAAATGCTGTGCATGACAGCCCACAGGAGAAGAGTTTATTCCTTAGCTCTCCGCTATATTTCAGCGAGCAGTCCCGCTTGGTGCTGCGGTGTCCCAAATGCACCTTATTTTGGTTTTTTGTCTCAGGGCAAACACAGGTGTTCCCCTTCTCCGTGTGACCCAGCGAGCAGGTGAGTTGGAGGATGGCTTAGAGTCGAAGGCTTTGGCAACCCAGATGTAGATGTAGAAAAGCTGGAAACCCACAGTGCCCATGTCTAACTTCATTACCTTTCATGGCTGAAAAAGGGAGGCTTAGTTCTCAGAATCTCTGAAAAAGAGGCTGTCCCCCATTCACAACCTAAACACCCTCAAATTTAGGAACAGGATGTCAAAGAGCACATCCAGCCCACTGCCTAGGAATGGCCTCTACACACTTCAAGGCCCCAGCATTGCGCCATCTGATTCCACCTCTAGCCTCAACGACTGGACAGGGACTGAGACCTGACCCAGAGGGAGCCAGTCCATTGGCTGATGAGCAACCAATCACAGTCACTCTGCCCAGAATGAGCAAGAGGAGGCCCTCACTGGAGTGGTGAGCACTTGAACAGAAAGTCTCATGGCAGACAATGACAGTGTGAACCTACGTCACCCTGAGGTGTGCGGAAGGCCTGGTCACTGCCAGCT